TATTCCTACACTGGGCCCAATTCAGTCTGAGATCTATCTGATTAAATAATTGACTCAAGAGAAGGCGGCGAGAAGTGGAGTGAACTGTAATGCCGTACAACCCCCGATTCTAGGATAAAAGACCTGATCATTCGCACATATTCATACCCACGTACAACACATGTCAGTAGGGGAAGCCATTTGTCACTGATTGTGCATTGGTGAACAATGACGTGGTGCGTGCAAATCATGTAACATTTGGCAGTGAGATACAGTTGTATGGTAGGCAATTGAGGAGACAGAGTTCAGTCGGAGGAAAGTACCTGCTGAGATGGTCGATGAACTGCCTGATGGAAAGTCGCCTACAAACTCGTCTCCATGAGGAATAGATAGATGTGGAATTTAAGCGCTCAAGAGCTGGCATTAGACCCTCGGCTGAGAAAACAACAGCGATTCGGGAGTATCCAATTCCAGAATCCACACGCAGTTTGCGCCGTTTTCTTGGTTTTTTTTAAACTGCTAAGCAAGGTTCACCCCTCATGCCACTAAAATTTTGTCTCCCCTGATTATTTTGCTTCAAGGTACTCCCAAAGCGCTAACGCTTACTCAGAAGGCTGAAGCTGATTTTGAGACTCTGAAGAATGCGATAACTGATTTTGAGAACTTCTGCTACTGGAAGAAAGAAGCAAAACTCGTCTTACGAACAGATGCTTCCCAAACTGCAGTCGACGCAGTCCTTCAATTAGAATTGAACGGTCGTACTGAGCCGTTATCATTCCTTTCTCGCATGCTTCAACCAGCTCAGACCCGTTACAAAGCCGTTACCGATCATAAGCCACTTATTTAAGCCTTTCATACAGCCTCTGATCAATAATCCTCACGCGACTCCAGACACCTTGACTATGTTTTACAATTCACAACCAATATTCACCACGTTGGTGGCACCGAGAACGTCGTGGCCGATGCGCTGTCCCGAGCACATACTCATAACCTTTCAGTTCCTGGTATCGACCTCGAACAGTTAGCTGCATTGCAGACGGATGACTCTGAATTACAACAGCTTCGTCACAATTCTAGTCTCAAGTCATGATAAACATACTGAGCGGGGATTCCAAAGTTCATTGTGAAATATAAGCGTTGCTATGTTTTGACCAATGACATTGGATCTCAAATGATCAAATATGTTCCTTAATTTGTCGCAATTTCTTTACTACTCCATAGTTACTCCCACGTTCAAGTAACGAGGCACGCTTAAACCGCCGAACGAAACAACGTGCATCCAACGCCACTCAAAATCCACAACAGCAGTTCTTTCAGACAACACTTGGCCCAAGTATCTGTAACGGGAAGAAATGCATGTGCTGTTGTGTCAACGTCTGCAAACTTGTCTTCCTCACCACCAAAAAACAATGTCGATCCCACGCAAATCGACCCTTACAACCACACTTGTTGCAGGGCAACCTTCACCAAAGACACATCATCGAGAAGAAACACATGTGCTGTTGTGTCTACGTCTACAAAATTGCCTTCATCATTCTTCTGAGCATAGGAACTACACCGCGCATACCGGTGATGCAAGGAATGCACATTGCGTAGCTTTACGTA